CAGAATTATTTTACGGAACCCATTCATATAACAGAGGAGCATAAAAAAATAGTTCGGAAAGAGCAACAAACAAATAACAAGATAATAGATATCCGGGATGGCTAGTGGAATACCAGTTGCAGAAGACTCGGAGTTCATATTCACGATGTAGCACGAAGTGGAGAAGAACGGCAGAAATTAGTTAACAAGGAATTTTAGGGGCCATTCGAAGTGAACGGGAACTAATATTACCTTCAAAAAGAAACCGAACTATGTGATAACGCGCCAACTGGCAAAAGGCGCGCGCTGCGACCACTGAGCCCCTGTAGAGGCTTGTTTAAACCACAAGCTGCCGTTTGCTGCGTTTCGTTCTGACCGTTAATTGGCGAGTACGGCCACTGAAGTGAGCAGGAGGATATGCTGTTAATCGGATCAGTGTCAAAAGAACAAGGTGTGTGCATGGGGTGGGGGAGGAATTTCGCTAAAATCTCGGCAAGAAGTTTCTAGAGAGTTATATTGTTTAGCCAAGCATATGGGGGGGGGGAAGCATGAGCCGCACACAGGGCTGTGATTTGAAGGTTTTGAACGCGGCAGAATGTCGTTCGGTGACGATCTCAAGCCTCAATGACTTTCCACATCAACAGACGATGACCATTTTGGGAGATCTGGTGAAGTGATCCGTGATCATTGTTTAACCCTTCGAGGGTATCAGCATAGGATCATAACACCAACTTTTGAGTAACAAACTGGAGATGCGTCATATCAGTGCGAAATTCGTGCCGAACATATTTCGGGTAATGTTGTTGTCCAGTCGGATGCAACACACATATATGAGTCATCGCTTTAGCTCGATTGATTACCAAACACAAAGTTGTGTCTACTGATGAAAGATTGTAGCCAACCGTTCGACACTTTAAAGTATGGGTGTTGCAACTCTTTTGCAAAGTGTAACGTTCGTTGTTGAATCATGGGTCCAGATCATGGGATTTTTCTCGCCAGTGCTGTCTGATACCATTTCCAGCAAGGTGCGTTTATGTCTTCGTTACCCGTATTTCCACATATTCTTCATTTTCAGTCTTGGTGCGTTGTTCTCAATCATTCAAAAACTTGGCTTTCCTCTTTAAAGTTAGAAGGATTTGTGTCTTTCTTACTCCTAAACTTTTCGTCAATGTTCGCGAAATTTTTCCTTCTTGTCTTTGTCGAATCACTGATATCTTTTCTTCAAGTGTCACCGCCTTAGGCTTTGCTGATTTGGAACTAGCCATTTGTCCTTCGTAAGAATCGTCAAAAAGAACTATAAAAAGGAACATGAATATTCCCTAAGATGTAACTCAACAGTACCGGCTTAATGCTGACAACCGACTGGTTACACAGTAAACAGGTAGACACAAAAACTGATAGTCACAGTATTTGCGACTGTACAACATATCACAAAACCCAGAGTGCGCGGGGGTAGTCCCATTGCTTATTTGTTGGGTACCGGCTCTATCCGATTGGTTCACTGTACGGGATACATGCGGTAGTTACATAGGGTGATATCCACGGAGGGGGTTATGTGTCACTGGTAAAGTCTGGTGTGAAGGCAGTGTGATCCCTGTGGTGAGAATTAACCAGTGGTATTGGGGGCGGGGTTACCCAACGTGAACTGGTCAATTGCGACAGCAAGGGTATTAACAAGCCTATAGGGAATAGAATTTGGGGACACAGGATGCGTGAACCCGGGCGATAATGCGTCAGTGCAGACCATATGGTGTGGTTTCTAGGGCAATTAGGACACGTTGAAACGAAATCTTTCAAAACACCCCTACTCACAATCTCGGCTAGTCGTGCTAGTGGTGGTCGCCTTGAGCAGCTGGTAGAACACACGGGAACCACAGAAGCGTGGTCGCAGTTGCGTTGGACAGGCGGACGCCATAGGCAGGTTAAGACCAATGAGAAAATATAGTAAAAAACGTTGGGGATATTTTTGACTGGTCGTCATCGACAGGTGGTCACAATGGCAGGTAGGACTGTAACAGGCGATGAGACGATGGTTTGTGGCTAGGTTATTGAAACAAAGGTGCAGTCTTCGCAGTGGATGGGGAAAAGTTCTCCTCGTTTAACAAAAGCACGTATGAGTCGGTCAAAGTTGGTGGTGTTTTTTAACCCGTTGAATCCTTAAGTAATTTACCTATAGCTCAACATGAACCACAAAAGTTTACTCCACATACTGTAGAGCAAAGTATAGGAGTTCTGGCCCTTACTTAATTACAAAGGAGTAGTAGGGGGAATTGCGTGGTATAGGCAGAAATTCGTCACATCTAGACTCACTCAGACAGCCGTCACACGCCCGGAAAAGCACTGTACGCGCGTTTCATCCTTTCGAGACTCGTCAGCAGTACGCATTCCATCGGACGCTGGTTGGGCTGGAATCCGCAACTCGACTGTTACCAGTCCGTGGTTGAGACCACGGGGAGCTACCCTGTCCTCCTCTGTAAGTCAGTGGATAGTGAGCGGCGCTATATTACATCTATAGTAACTTATTCAAGATTGTCATTGCCGTCCCCTGTAGTTCAGTGGTCTCGACCACGGACTGGCAACAGTGGAGTTGCGGATTCGAGCCCTACCAGGGTCCGATGGAATGCGCACTGCTGACGATTCCCGAAAGGATGAAACGCGCGTACAGTGCTTCTCCGGGCGTGTGCCGGCTGCCTGAGTAAGTCTAGATGTGACGAATTTTACCTATACCTTACTTAATTGTTGACAGAAAGCTATTGTACGTATTCTCGCGAGTACCGGCAGGAATGACGCTTGCTCTGAAGCTGTAATACAATTTAGATAAAGTGGTACTTATAAATACCGCCAGGACACAAAGGGTTAACTGCAAAAACAATGTCCATAAGGAATTTGTACCATGTGGTCAGCTGGCAAACAATGAAGTTTATCAGGGAATTATAGTGCGTTTGAGGGATCTTGTGCGTAGGAAGAGGTCTGAACTGTGGGAATACAAGACATGGATGTTACATCATAACAATGCGCTGGCTCAAACATCACCTTTTGTCCATAGCTATCTAGCACAACACCAAGCTACCACTGTGCCGCATGCACTGAATTTTCCGGACCTTGTCCCAGAAGACTTTCTTCTATTTCTTAAACGTAAAAGCACGTTGAAAGGAGGTCGTTTCCAAACCATATAGGTTTAGGACAATGTAACAAAAAACCTGCGCGACACCCCAGAAAGTGCGTTTCCGAAGGCTTTCCCAAAACGGAAACACAGTTGGGAACGGTATACTGCCAGTACAGCGGATTACTTTGGGGGGGGGGCAGTGTTTAAAATGTACAATGAGCACTAATGATGTTAGAGCAAAAGTTCAGTTTCATTTGGAAAGGTGTTTGCCAGAATGGTCACATATTCATTCCACGCTTGTGCGTTTGATGGAGTATCTACTCGCAGAAGTGCGTCAGTATAATCAGTTACAAAGACCGCGCCTGTGCACATAGGATAAACCAGGAGAGCTGAGTACGAAACTAGTAGAACACAAGAGACACGTCGGGGCCACCAAGGAACGCGTCGGAATACAGGGCCATACGAAGAGATTCGGCAGCCGTGTGCATGCGCTAGACACAGGGTACCAAATCGACCTACATACTGTCGAAAGCATTGAGAAAGAATGGAGAGCAACACGCCAAGTGGTTATTGTTGAGGCAGTGGAAGTTGCCGAAGGCAACAGCCACGTGTATAGTATGGACGGGGTGAATCAGTCAATAGCGTGGCGGGCTGTTTGGACCGAGTCAGTCTAAGGAACGTTAGTGGACGGATGGGGTGGAAGAGAATGAACATCAAAATACCACCCCTTCACTGTCAAGGTCTTGCGTGTGAGTCTCCGTAATATGGATCACTTGGGACCTTCCAATTCTTGATATATTACTTGAAATGACATGAGTTGTAACACAGCCACCTGTAGACTCATCTCTAATTTTTCGCGATCATCCTCCCAGTTTGCTTTAAGTGCCATAGCAACTAGGTGCTAGTTCACCTGGAATGTAGTAACTATTGTGTCAGAAAAGAAACCTTACCTACAGAAATGTGATAGACCATTACTTTCAAGCCAGTCTGAAATCGTGAGTTTTCGATCGATTCCAAGCATATTTTAACCTGATGAATGCTGGACGTTTGCTCAACTTACGGAATTTAATCGGTGTAGACAGAGATTCGTATGTAACCTAGAAAACCGAGAAAAAAACCCAGTAAAATGGTGTCTTATTACAACTATGATCACCACAATACTGCAACGCACGCGGGTAAAATCGCACAGAGTACCTACGGTCGATGGAAAGACTGGCGATCATTGCCTTTGGCCGGACAACTTGAGAGACAAGAAGTGGTATCACCGGCTGTGTCGGAATCTAGCATACACCTGTCCGTCAATATACCGCTGAAAAAGACGAAGGTCAGACGGGGATTCTTATCATTTGGGCGACGTGGTGTATAGAATTGAAGACTGGTAGCTCAGGTTGTTCAGATGGCGGTTGAACTGTTCGCTGAGCTTGGCTATTTTGTCGCAAATGTTTCGTCATCAATCGAGGTGACATCATCAGTGCGTAGATGAGTGGCGTGCAGTAGCGTAGAGGAGCCTCGGCCCTCTCACTGACGCTACTCCACGCTACTCAACTACGCACTGATGATGCCACCTCTATTGGTGACGAAACGTTTGCAACAAAGTTCAACCGACATGGGGTATTTTGACACTTTAAGCACACGCCAATATAAATCTTTTTTCACTGAACTCATTTCTTTGCATACCGAGCCTGTTAGCATAAAACAGTCGGACACTGCACCGATATTCTCATGACTGAGTGATATTCAATAAGGTCACGGTAAATTAACAGAATAAGATGTATCGAAACAGGCCACCGGGTTGAATGCATATCAGGGGTTGAATCCCTTCATGTCTTCACTGGTGTGCAGCGTCATGACAAGAATAAACCATTTATTCATTTATGGAATGCAAGTAAGTAAAACAAATGGGTTGGAAACTCACCGAGTGAGGTAATCCATCTTTGGCTGCAAAGCGGCACACAACAATGAAGCCACACGGGACCGATCTTGCGCAGTGGTGCGCTCGTCTTCCTCAAGTACGCGCACCAACAGACAAAGAAAGTCCCTGTTGCAAAGGAGGGCGTGAAAAAGAGAAATGCCTTTCGAAGCAAAGTCAAGAGATTCGACCGGGACCTGAAATAAAGCAGAGAAGGAATGGTTTCAGCTATGGCAAGATAACTCAAAAGGAGAACCGCGCAAGTTATTGCTCGAAGCGTAATAAACAGGTTGTGGAACACTTTCTCTTCATTTAAACAAAAGATCGGAGAGAGGAAACCCAGAACAAAATCACTCCTACAGGATGGAATCCCTTGCGAATTTGAGTAAGAGTGGTGTGAATGAAGAGAGAAAGAAGGCATCAGCAGTACTCCGGTACGCAGTATCGACACTTCACTGCCGTGCAACCACCACCGGTCGCACGTGGGCCAGGGATACTGCGAAGGTCGCCCTGCCCCTAAGCAGGCTCGAGCCCGCGCCAGTAAATTACAAGACAACCTTTAGGCTACGGTGAATAAATCGCAAACCACATTCAGGAGGAAAGATCGTAACGAACTGTATGCTATAAATGACAGATCGTTCGGTAGCTAAAAGTTTGGTATCGAGGGGCATACAGAGCGCATGGCCTAGCCAATGAGAGCGGTGCAAGTTTACAGACACCTCAGGCACCAGAGGGTTTCCTGCTGAATACCAATCGGCGAACTCGGTGTTCTCAACAAATATGAGCAACACTTTGTGATTAAAGACGATCACTCTCTTAAGGTCTTCAGCGTAAAGTGACAATGCCCCCCATTTATACAGTAACGTGGGCTATAACGCAGCGTTGACAGAGTACTATTCCACACTGTTCATTGACGACTGAGCCACAGAAAAGCCGCAGGGGCTTTGCTAATAGGTGAAGTAAAATACTTAGTGATGTGACCACAATGCGTAGCAAAAACAGTAAGTGCCGATCGGCCACCTCCAGTGGCTGTTCGGCGAAACTACTACCGATAGCGTGTCTGCTTGGTCCTGCAACAGTAAATCGAAGCTTGAAGGCGCACAGTACATGCCTGTGTGTACAGCGTCACACGTCAGCCTACTCAGTAATGCCTACGTAGCAAGTGAACCTGACTGAAGGAGTGAAATGTCGTCTACACTTCCCCATCCGTTGAGTGCCTGTAAGAAATGCCACTTTGGAATTGTAACGGATTTAGGCAGCATGGATGCATTAGCTTCGACGAGAGTTACGACGTAAACTGAGCACGGACCCTAGTCACATACGTATTCGGATGGCACTCTGACTCCTCGTAAATGGACAACGACACGCACACGACCGGGGAACTCAGACGCCCGAGGCTTAGACGAACGCGGAACACACGAGAAGAGCTGCGCACACGATCACGTAAGAACGCGGATCCGAACCACCGAGGAGAAAAGCGAAGACGGAGCGGACCTCTGGGAGCTGTTTTACGACGCACAAAGACCGGATCACAGTTGGAACAATGCTTCAGTTTGTGGGTGAATGAATCACCACGTAGGACTGGTGGTTTATGAAAGAACATTGTCCACTTTAGTTCAGTTGCGCCCGTTACTCGGAGTGGCTGGATCCTGCTACCTTGTGGGGAGGAATTGAACCCTACATAGCACAGCCCACACACTAGTGTTTGTGGCGTATCTTTGCGGGGATATTTGATGAGCCCGCAACAGGTATACAGTAGGGTAAAGTGCTTTCAGCATGTCTTCTCGGGATTTATCAACACCAGAAATGCTTGATTCCTTGATATGGTATCACCAGAGATGCGAATATCATATATAGAAAACAAAAACCTAGGAGACGTACATCTGCGTTGCTCCATAGTTATGGTACAGAGAATGCACACGGAATAACGTCCTTCGTAAGTAGTAGGGGGATTTATTAGGGTTGTGTAGATTGGTCGCAGTTAGACAGGCAGACAGTCACCACACATCCAGGAAAGCGCTAGACGGCCGTTTCGTCCTAATGGGACTCATCAGTAGCGCGCACCCGCTGAATCCGAACCCACGACCTTACTCTTGCGAGTCAGCGACTTATGCCACTGAGCCATGGCCGATGCCAGCGGACCGCCATGACTGCGATATAGCGCGGCTCATCCTACACTGTCTTGCATACGTCGCTGACTCGTAAGAGTAAGGTCGTGGGTTCGAATCCAAGTGCGCGCAACTGATGAGTCCCAATAAGACGAAACTGCCGTTCAGCGCTTTCCTGGATGTGTGGTGACTGTCTGCCTGTGTCTAACTGCGACGAATCTACACCAAACAGAATAACATTATTTATTATCGCTCGTTGCCAACACAGTTCATTTGTGCGACTTCTTACTTAGGTGTGATGCGCTCTTGTAATATGCAATCCGCAAAGTATGCGCCTAGGAAGCCATGGAATTTCGACATCGATTGCGCCCCGACAATTGTCTCGAGTGAGCTGCATGTGAGTGGCCAACACGGTTCGCGTTCCCTTAATGATACAACTGTATGAAGATGCTCGTCTAGTACTCACGAACACTAACTTTTGACACAGCACCCACAGAGGAGTGACTTGGCGCCCACACGCTTCAAACCAGCCATGGACGCAAATCGATCGCATCGAGATCAGTTACACTTGGAGAGGCTGTGTCCAAAACGGTCGCTCAATTTGTAGCGCGTGCGTGGACTCCGATCAAGCACTTGTATGTGCTGACCTGCGGATAGGTTTTGGTGCGCGACCGCAACGACGATGTGAGTGCATAGATACTTGCCAACTGGTGAAATCAATGTTTTGAATGCGTATCGAAGTACGCTGGCATCCGACCTGTGTAAGAGCCCACTAAATACAGTTGAAGATTAATGGTCGCAAATCCGCCAGACGTTATTAGCATGTTGTAAATCAAATCGCCAACCAGGACATAGGGTCTATACGAAGACACGGGAATTGTCAGACGCGTGTTGACACAATGCGGCTGGAAGCGAACAAAACGAGACTCGCAAAAGCCTCAGGGTAAATATGCTTGCTAGCATGAAGAGATACCGCGAAGCCTGATCGTCTCATCGTGCATCGGAAATGGAGACAGCGGCTGCCCTTAGTAACCATCGGAAGTGATCCCGTCTGATAAGCGAAACTGGCGGCAGGATAGCTGATATTAGCGAAACTATGTACGACTAGAGTGGACAGCCAATCCACAATTTGTCGAAACGCTTGAAGCGTTAAGCCAAACACTTTGAAAAGCAGTTTACTCAACTAATTACTATCTTTCTTATCGGTCAATGATCGCCTTACCAACTGGGTCGTCGCCATAGATCCGCCCTCACGTGTGGAAGTCGAACGTGAGATCCGGCTTTCGAAATTGAACAAGGCCGCAGGAGCAGATATACATCCTCTAGCGTGATTCAAATTCGGGGGCCTGCTCCTGCAGATGGGTTTCGCAGCTTACCTATGACGCTGCGGGAACGGGAGACTGCCCTAGCGGACTGGAGCCGCTCTGACACAGTTCCAATTTTCAAGGGAGGCTCACGGTCAGACTGCAGCAATCACAGAGGGATCATTCTGATCGCAACTGCCTTTAATGAGCTTTCCTCTGACTGGCATTCGTGAAAGACAGTTTCGTGAACAGTAAGCCAAAGTTCGTCGAGATCGAGGCTGTATTTACCATATCTACATTCTATGCCAATTGTTGGAACACTGTCATATCTAGTAGCGACCCACAGTATTCGTGTTTGGCCCGTAGCTTAAAAGTAACAAGTACGTCTAGTAATCTGACGGCGCGGGTTCGAGACTGAGTATGGGCAGGGCGACTTTCGAAGCATCCTCAGTCCACGTGCGACCGATGGGGGTTGCGCCGCAGTGAAGCGTCGTTACTGCGTACCGGCGTACTGCTGATGGGTTCGTTTCGTTCGTTCCTGAACATCAAAAGTGACTTAAATTCGCCGGATCGATGCGCCCTTAGAGACTGTCTGCTCAGGAAAGAGGGCCCTATAAATATGTAAATATTATCAAAGCGTCGTACGTGCATAGTTCAGACAGAGTAATGGCTTACGGCAAACTAGTGCTACAATGCAATAGCTCCAGCGGTTTGAGACAGAGTTGCGCGCGGTCGCTTTTCTTCTTTAAATTCGCCATCGACGAAGGCGTAAAAATACCATACACTGGACACGACTTAGGTGTGGAATTGCTTCTAGGTGATCGACTTCTTGACTTGGAGCACGGCAACAACATTGTCCCAATCGATGAGAGCTCCCAAACGTGCTAAGAAGCACTGCACAGATTATCACATACTGTCAGCCGTTTCGGGCTCTGTTTAACGCACACGAGATGCAAAGCCCTCCTCGAAGATCAGCAGGGACCAACTCCTGCGCTGACCCATGGTGGGGATCAGCTAGAAGTCGTCCAAAAATTCAAGTACCATGGCAGTTATATTAGCGCCAGTGGTATAGAAGATGTGACCACAAACCGTATAGTAAAAGCCGGAGGTGCTTTTACCATATCTCCACCACTTGTGGCGTCGGCGCGAGACCACTCTCATCAAGAAAGACAGAATTTACAACGCGTCCGTGCGTTCAACCTTCTTGTACGGTTGTGGAATTTGGCCTATGAGATCGACTGACACAGAGGCTAGTAACGTACGTTTACCGCGGCCTTCGCAGCTGAGCTCATATCTGGTGGGAGAACCGCGTGAGCAATGAGCGCATTCGACGTAGCGTATTTGGTGCAGTAAGGCCGAGGGAACCGCTCAGCAAAGTTATATCACGCACCAAGCTCCGATGGCAGAGATCAGGTGTTGCGCATGCCAGCCCACCGACCCCAGTGAATTGCAATGTTTGCGCGACTGGGGTGTGGATGGAAGGGGAGGCCAAGTGATGACTTGGTCAAGAGGAGTGAAGTCCTTCACTTCGAACAAGGCTTCGGTTAGCGTATCTTGACTGCCAGGCTACGGTCACAACAACGATGTAACACGTTTGTTTGGATACACTAGTTAACATGGTGAAGAGCCGACCTCAATAAAGTTTGTGTTGGGAGTCTCTTTGTCCATCCCCTTTTCGCTCATGTTCCCCCCTCCAACAACGATCTTACATCATCTGAGTAATATGAAATTAACATGATATTTAATTTTAGTATTCTGTTATGTATAGTATCTCGCATTTCCTGT